GGGGCGTGTGTGGGCCCTTCCCTGGGGTCGGGGACCTGGGGGGCGTGTGTGGGTCCCTGGCTGGCCGTCACTGGCAGGCCATGGAGGCCAGAGTGGGGTGCATGACCACTCACCCGCTGTGCACCCACCCCCCGCCCCCAGCTGGAGGACAACGATCTATATGATGCCATCTCCCTGGGCCTCCAGCACACCAGTCTGGGCCTGGAAAATCCACCTGCCTCAGCATCGCTCCTGGTGGCCCCAGACAAGGCTACCAGCCCCTGGCCCTGCCTGAAGCCGCAGGTCCCCTTCCTTCACACCAAGAAGAGTCTGGATGCGAGTTCCTGCAGCTTCTCTGAGGAGGCGGTGAGCAGCATTCTGGGCCCCTCGGGTCGGGGCCGCGCCAGGCTGCGGGGTGGGAGCACCAGGCCCAAAAAGGTGCGGGCTCACCCACCCCAGGGCCTGCGTCTGGCCAGCTGGGTGTGCTCTAGCCCCTGCTGGGCCTTTCCAGCTGTGTGCCTCAGTTTACCATTCCTACGGTTCCTCTGAGGCTTGAATGAGAAAACGGGTAAGAAATGCCTGAAATTGCTCTAAACTATGGGGGGGGGGAGGTGGGGCCTGTGAGTTGATATTTTCCGTCCACGGCACCTCCTGGGAGGGGCTCAGAGAGATTTTCCTCCTATACAGTAGATCACAGCAGGCCAAGGCCTCTCCTCACGTTTAGAAACAACCTGAGGCCTTCCCCAGGGTCCACGGGGGGCCTCACCAAGGGCCCTGCTACCTCCCCTCTGCTCACTCTTCTCCAGCCTCACTGGCATCTTCCCAGAACACACCAACCTTGCTCCCACCCCAGGGCCTTTGCACTTGCTGTGTCTTTGCTGCAATGCTCTTCCTACCAGCTAGCGGCTTGTACTCCTTTCTCTGCTTGCGTGTCATCTCTCCAGAAGGGCCACCAAGGCTGCAGGAAAGACCCCTCCACACCTGTCATTCTGTCTGTCCTGTTGCCCTGCTTTGCTCCTCTTCATGGTACCGATCACCACCGGACCATTCACCATCTTGGGACACACTATCGTGGGTCTGTAGGCACATGAACCCATGCAGCAGACTGGTCTGTTGCCCAGGTCCCAGGTTAGAAGGGAGACGTCCAGAGTTGGCCTTGCAGCCCATCGAGTCCTTGCCATGCAGGACAGTGTCTGGCACGCAGCTGATGCCCAGCAGATGTTTAGGGAATAATACAGAAATGACAGCCTCGGGGTGATGGCCTATTCTGAAGGGGGGCCGTGAGCGGGTGGGCTCGGGGGGCCCTGAGGGGCCAGTGGACCTCTCTGGAGGGAGGACAGAGCAGGATGAGCTTGGGTGGTGCCCGCTGGCCTCAAATGCCAAGGACAGACTAGACTCGGGGAGCGTGGGGCCTGGTGGGGACCCTCACATGCGACAGTGAGGTAAACGGAGCCACGACGGGGCCGCGGCGTGCCGAGAGCCTGTGTTTACCTGAGAGCATCTTAGCGACGGGGGGGCCTTCCGGAGGTTCTGCCTCTGTCTCCCCAGGTCCCCGTCAGGGTGCCTCCCCTCCCTGAGAGGAGTGCCTCCCCTCCGAACGAGTCCTTTGGAAGCTCCAGCAACAGCATCTACTCAGACCTGAGGAAGGTGAACCAGGCACGGCTGGGCCTGGGCGCAGAGGCATCCGGCAGGCCCGGGCCAGCCCCAGCTGACAGCCAGCCCAGCTCCCCAGGCAAGGAGCCGCAGAGGACACTCTCGGCTGGAGGCCAGAACAGGCCTGATGGCCCAGGGCCTGCCCTCTCTGGGGTGAGCCCTGAGCAGGGTCCTACGGTGCCTCCCATGCCCTGGGGCCACCTCCTGCCCCCTGCTTCTGAGGCCCTGGGATCCTCGGCTGCCCCCTGGAGCCAGGAGTCTCTGAAGCTGAGCCACAGGGCTCAGCCCTGCTCCCAGGGCAGCTCTGCAGACACTTTTGAGTTCCTGCAGACAGCAGGTCCCCCATCAGAGCCCAGGGACGTGCCAGACCAAGAAGACAGTGCCTATGCGCAGGTCCCAGTGTGCCGGGGGGGCCCAGCCAGGCCCTCGGGTCCTGGGACCAGTCCTCCATCTAGCAAGCCGCCAGGACCCACAGACTACAGCTATGAGAGGCTCTCAGGGGCCCCGGAGCTCCCCGAGCCCAGGAACACCTATGAACAAACCCCAGCTGCCAGGAGCAAGGAGACTGGACGGACACACAAGGTGGGCTCCACAGTGGGCGGGGGTGGCCGCTGGTAGGAGGGATCAGTGGCCCTCATGCACAAGCAGGCCAGGTCACTGCTGCTGTCCCGAGGGGCCCAGAATTTTCCAGAAGTAACATATGCTTGGAGGTGGTGGGAGAGGCTGTTGCTCAGCTTGGATGTAAGGTGGGGGCTTCTAGGCCCTTCTGAGGCCTTTCTCTGCAGACCAGGTTTTCCTGCCCTCTCCTGGCCACTGTGAGAGGTGGACAAGGGACCCTGGCTCCAGGCCGGACTTGCCCTGGCCCTCGTCATGGCGCAGCCACCCCCCAGTTTCCCTGGCAACAACTCTCCCCAAGAGTATGTCCCAAATACTGCGATTACTCCTCATTTATCTGAAATTCAGATTTCACTGGGCATCCCGTATTCTCATTTAGCAACTGACCAGGACCTCCCTTTCTTCATCTCTAAGAGTCTGCCCAAAGGGCAACACTAGACATGCTCCCATGCTCAGGACACCGCCCAGAGACACTGAACAGAGCTGCCATTTCGGGGGGTCTCTGATAGGAGGGAGGACAGGAGAAGTGGAGGTCAGGAGGGCGGAGGGAGGTGGTCAGGGGCTCCCACGGGGCCCAGGCACCCTCAGCCCCAGCACACTCTGCCTGTACCCTGAGCCAGTGAGCAGGGAGGGTCCGTTCTCCATGGGGATGGCCTCGGATCTCGGCACATGCAGACCCTCTCGAGGTCTGGGCAGTGAAACCCAAGTTCCCAGCTGAAAGGCCTTCCCGCACATCCCGGGATGGGGCGTTTACCCGGTGTGGTGCAGCCACTGAGGTCCTGACTCTCCTGGGACCAGAGGCCCCGCCCGAAGGCAGGCCCTTGCAGAACCCCGAAGCCATATGCCCCGGCTGCAAAGCCCCACATCCTCTCTGGTCCGACGCCGCCAGGGACCAGCCCACTCCCACCCGCCTAGGGCCCTGCTGCACCAGAGAGCTCTGGGAGTTAGGGGACCCTGGGGCCCTCCAGTGAGGGAAGGAGGGGCTGGGGCTTGCTTCTCTACCCCTTTGGCCTCCTCCCGTTAGCCTTCTCAAAAGAGTCAGGTCCTTCATTCAGAACGGGGTCGGGGGGGGGGCCTGGACATGGAACTTCTGGCACCGTGAGGCTCGTGAACAACCAGCAATATTCCAAGCTGGCCTTTCCTGGGCATGGGCCCCAGCCTCCAACCAATGCTGGGCCTCTCTCTGTCCAGAGCCTCCAGGCTCCAGTATGTCCTCCCTCTTTGCAGCCTGACAAGTTCCGGAGGATCTTCTTCACTGACAAGAAGCACAAGTCCTGAGCACCGGGCTTCCTCCCAGCAGCTCACCGGTGGGCTTCCTGGGACCCGGCTGTGCCCCTCATGAAGGCACCCCTGCTTCCCCAGTGCCCCTCACTCTCCCCCGGGGGGGTGGGGGTCAGGGCTGGAGGGGCGGGGGACTGACCACAGGCAGGGTCAGCACCCCCATCCCCAAGACGAACTTCTGAGGCCTGGGCTCCCTGGTCACCTACGGAGCACATGGCTGACGCTGGGCTAGGGCGGGCTGAGACCTGAGCCATCTCCCGACTGGGCGGCCCTCCCAGCCGCGGGGGGCAGAGGCCTCTGAGGCAAGAGTTCCTGCCCGGAGGCGCTGGGCTCCCAGGAGCAGGCCCCTTGGCCCTTCTCTGCCCCCTGCCTTATCACAGCCTTGCCACGCAGGCTGGCCAGGCCCTCATCCAGCCCCTCTGCGCTGCAGACGGGGAGACCAAGGCCCACAGAGGAGCGAGCCGCCTGAGGTCACGGTCAGCGCCTGAGCACACACCCCAAGCCTGGCTGCCTGGGGTCCGCCTGGGACGCACTCCTGGGTGTTTCTGGGGCCAGCCGGTGGGCACGGACTGCCCATCGCTGTATGACCAGGTCACTCTCCCCTGCCCTCTGCCTCCGCCAGTCTTGGCCCCGAGGGGCGGCTCTCAGACCGCTCCCATGAGGCCCACACAGCAGCTCTGGACACGGGCACTCACGTGTCCGCTCTCCCTGGATTCCCGTCCCCCAGGGTCCTTCCTGCTTTGTCCCACTTCCCCTCTTCCCTGCACGTCCCCACCTGTGGATGGGGGAGCAGCTGGTGTGCGGCTCCCGCCTGGGCCTCCAGTCACTGGAGGTGGAAAACAGACTGACCGTCCCCAGAGAGAGCGCCGTGGCCCCCACCCCTCCTGCCCATGTCCCCTGGCCCGGCTCACACCTGTGGGGGCATCTCCCCTGGCAGCCTCCCCCCTGAAGAGCGGGGGAGAGCGCCCGCCTCCCAGGGGCCTCGTAGGACTGAGAACAGGGCAAGCAGCCCTGTGTCTGACTCGGGCCTAGGGCTCCGTAGATTCTCACCACAATCACCACTGTCATGAGGGAAACGGGCATGGTTCTCACCTAACGTCCCCTGTGGGGCTCACCTGGAGATTCGGGGTGCCAATGTGTCTCCCTCTTAAAAGCATAAGCATCGAGGGGCGCCTGGGTGGCTCAGTCGGTTAAGCGACTGCCTTCGGCTCAGGTCATGATCCCGGAGTCCCGGGATCGAGTCCCGCATCGGGCTCCCTGCTCGGCAGGGAGTCTGCTTCTCCCTCGGACCCTCCTCCCTCTCATGCTCTCTGTCTCTCATTCTCTCTCTCAAATAAATAAATTAATAAATAAATAAATAAGCATCGAAATAAACGTTAGTGCCCAAAACAGGAAGGCGACGCTTGACCCAGAAGTGACCCAGAGGTGACCCACTAGTGATGGGATTTCAAGGAGCAAGAGCAAGGGACCATTGAGCACGTCCTAATGTCGGCAGACAGAGCACGGGGACGTCCAAGTGCTTTACTACCGGGAATTCACAAATGTGTGGACAGCACGCACCAGTGAGAATTCCACATCTTGGGGGGCAGGGGGTGTGGTGCCCAGGCCTCAGAGCCAGGGACAGGGACAGAGCCCTTGGCCCACTGTCCACACAGCTTCACATTGGGGGGTCGGGGGCGAAGGGGACCAGGCGGGGCTGGGGGGCAGCCCAGCTGTGGGTTTTGGAGAAAGACTGCATAGCTTGTGAAACCTTGTCCTCTATCCCTTTTTGCTTTGCCCTGGGCCATCAGGACGCCTGCCCAGCACTTGGGACACGTCCGTATCCCCTGCCCCGTGAGGTCTCTGCCTTCCCCTCCCAGTGGGGCTGTTTCTGACAGGGAGAGGACTGCGGTCTGGGGGGCTCGGCGGCACAGATGGAGGGCCTGTGGCGGGGCCTGGGAAGGGCCCTGCTCCCCACACCCGCCTTCCCTGGTTAAGGATTTTTTGCTGAAAGGGCCAAGAAAATGTTGGTGGGTCTAACCCCAGAGGCCGCAGCCTCTTTTCTGGACAGCTCAGAGGTCACACTCGTGTAGACAGCAGACCCAGATGGTTGGCCTCAGGGCCCCTACGCCTTCGGCAGTGTCCTCATATCCGGATGTGGAAGGTGCTGGAAAGAGAAGAAGGGCCCCTCAGCAGAAAGCCCACTGGCCCCCGGCCCAGGGCACAGTCCCCTAGGAGGACGCGGAGGACACAGCTGACCTCCTCTGGGGGGGAGGGCGGGCGGTGGGCCCAGCTGTCCCCGGGGACCCCAGCCCCAGCCACGGGGCTGCACCTGAGGAAGTCGGGGGCCTTGGCAATCATGTCCTCAAAGTCCGCGAAGCCCAGTTTGCCGTCGCCATCCAGGTCGGCCTCCTCGATGACCTTTTCACACACGAGCACCACCTCGTCCTCGTCCAGCTCCGACTTGGTGAGCCGTGCCAGCGTGCGCTCCAGGTCCTCCTTACAGATGAAGTTGTCCGTGTTGAAGTCTGCGGGCGGGGACAGGGGGTGCTCAGGCCAGGGCTCCCTCCGACATCCCGCCCCCGGTGCCCCGGCCCAGGATGAACAGCACATCCGACGAGCCAACACTCACCCCCGTAAGACCCCATGGTGGTCACAGGTCCAAACCTGGCCCTCCTGGCCACAGCCCGCGGTGGGCCCTATGTTCCCTCTGGAGTGGAGGAAACAGGCCCAGGGGGCCAAGCCACTGAATCAAGGTCAGAGGGCGGCTCGGAGGCGGAGCCAGGACGCTGACCAGGCCTGTTTGCCACTAAGCGCTCACCCCCCACGGCCACGTTCTCTCAACTGCACTCGCAGCCCCTGCGCCAGGCGCGGCGGTGGTCAGGAGACTCGGAAGCCCCGCAAAGGAGGCCCAGGCCGGTCTCCGTGCACAGAGCAGCTGCGTGCCCTGGTCCCACTTGGCAGGAGGCACCACACTGCCCAAAGCACGGCCACACGGCTCGCGGCGGTGACGCGACACGCTGCCCACCGCTTGCAGCTCAGCTCCCAGATCTCTGTCCCTCCCACCCGTCGGGCCAGCAAACGCCCATTCGTCCTCCGAGTTTCAGATCAAACACCACCTTCGGGGGGCTTTCAGACCCCCGCCCCCCACCGCTGAGCCCCCACGGCGGGCCACACCCCGACACGCGCGGGAGTGACGGAGAGCGTGGCGGCCGGCCGAACGGCAGCAGTCTGCCTCGCGGCAGCGCCTACACAAGCCGAGCAGTAGGTCCAGTTCATACACGGATGAAGAAACAGGGTCCTGCAGAGGCACATGACCCGAAGGGACACCCCCGGTCGGGGCTGGACCCCAGAGCCAGCCCCTTGGCAGGCACCCGCAGGCACTGGCCCGGGGGGGATCGACCTCCACCCCCGCAGGGGCGCCAGGACGCTTTGTGATGTGCAGGCTGACTGGCCGGCTGGATTCCTGGGCCCCTCGGATGGGAAGGAGCTGAGGCCCAGGAAGGGGGTGACCCTTGCTGCGAGTCAGGCCGCGACTCTCCCCAGCACCAAACCCCGTGTCCCAGTCGCCTTTCCCGCTGTTCCCCAGCTGGGGCAGCAGGGAGCCTGGGTGCCCCCATACCTGTCCCCGCCTGCCCCCACGCCCCTCGCTGCAGACGACAGCCTGCCCCGCGCGATGCCCCACGCGCGATGCCAGGGGTCCGAGGCTGGAGGGTGATGGGTGCAGTGGGGCACAGCTCGTGGACGGTGGGCCCGCTGCCACCACCCCTGATGCTCACGCACAAGGGGGTGCCGCGTGCGCCCAGACCAGGCCTCCGAAAGGGGCATGGCCGCTACAGAGTGAAACAGCCGGAGAGGCCCGCGGCCACGGGCTGGTCAGAGGTGCTGGGACAAGCAGGTCTGCGTGGCTTTTCTGCTAGCACCAGCCCGGCTCTCCCCATGGGAGGGCAGGCCAGCCGCGGGAAGTTGTCTCCTCTGGGGCCGGCGTGACCGTGGCCCTGGGAGCCCTGCTGCCCGGCCCAGGCGCCCTCTCCAGCCCCCGGCCTCTGGCTCACGCGTCCAGACCTGGAACTGCCCTGCCCCCCCGGAGCCCGGGGCACCCGGTCCAAGCTCCTCGGCTGGCTCCTCGCAGCCTGACCTGCAACCTCCCTGGGCGCACAGCGCTGGTGACTCACCCCGGGGAAGCCTGGCACCTCCTTGCTGCTCTCTCCACGGGGCACGCCCACCCCCACTGTGGTGTCCACAGACCCCCCCCCCACTCCCAGGACCCCCACAGGTGCCTTCCAGGCCCCTACCATAGATCTTGAAGGCATAGTTTGCCTTGAGCTCCCGGGGAGCCGACTCGCACAGCACGGAGAACATGTCCACGAAGTCGTTGAAGGTGAGGTTCCCCTGGCCGTCCTCAGAAAAAGCCTCCACGATCCTTTCCTTGAAGGGGTTCTCCTGCAGGAAACAGCCACAGCGGTGGTGTGGGTGCAGGGTGACCAAGAGCACGGGACAGAGGCCTCGGACGAGTGAGCTAAGCCATCTGAGCCCCCACGGCCGCCCGTGCAGCGGGAATGAGAGCTGGGCCTGCCTGGCTGGGGGTGGGGGCGGGGGTGGGGGAGGGGACGGCTGGGGGGCGCGAGGCCGGGCGTGGGGCTCCCCGGTTACGAGCAGAGCTGGCGGGGCCAAGGAGCACTCACCACAGGCACTGCCCCGTCTCAGGCAGGGCGCCACCCCGCTGCCCAGAGGGACGCACGGGCAGCCCTGGGCTAAGCCGGGTCAGGCCAGGGTCGGGGGAGGCAGAAGTGGGGCCCCCAAGGCTTGGAGAAAGGGGCCGGGACAAGCAGCAAGACTCGGAGGGCCAGTCAGAGCCCAGGCCATCATCAGCCCGCTCGGGGCCTCCTGCTCCGGGAGCTGCACCCCCAACTCCGTCCTCTCGTCCCACGTCTCTCAGGGCTCACTCTTCCTAGAGACCCCACCCCAACTGGACTTGGCCACCCCCACTCCGTGCCGAGCCAGGAAGGCTCAGAAACCACCAGCGTGGCGACTGCCAGAGGGCCCCATGCCCCTGCATCGACCTCCAGGCCACAGCTCAGGCCCTTCTCTAGGCTGGCGGGCACGTGCCAGGGCCAAGCCTGGGCCTCACTGTCCCTGGGGGTGGAGGTCAAGCCGGGACATGGGCCCGAAAGGACGCCACGTGGTGCCCTGACCCTGAGTCACACATCCAAGGCCTGGCGAAAGGCTCCTGGCCAAGTCCCACAGCGGGATGTGGTTGTGCCCCGAACGCCGGTCTTCCTTACCCCTGGCGGGCACTGGATGCATTGTGGGCAAGGAACTCATTAAGGGAAACTTTCCTGTCGAACATACATGTGCTGTGAGGTCCAGCAGCATCAGCTGGAAAACAATCTCGGCCCCCTCCACCCAGACCTGCTGACCCCGAGCGGCATTCTGACAAGATCGGCAGGTCTGAGAAGGGTTGGTGGGGATGGCCTGAGGTGACAGGCAAAAGCCAGACAAGGCGGAGACAGAGAATCATCTGAAAAGGCAGACACAAGCGGGCGCCTGAGGGGCTCGGTCGGTTCAGTGTGGGACTCTTGGACTTGGCTCGGGTCATGATCTCAGGGTCGTGGGATCGAGCCCCACGCCGGGCTCCATGCTCAGCATCTGCTTGTCCCTCTCCCTCTGCGCCTCCCCCTTACTCGCTCTCTCCCTCTCAAGTAAATAAATAAAATCTTAAAAAAAAAAGCAGACAAGTTCCGCCACGCAGAGCCGACTGGCCATTCCACAAAGGGGCGAGCGGGCGAGCACAGCCCCTCAGGCAGCCCCCGTGGCGCAGCTCACATGTTCAGAGAGCGCAGGGGAGCGAGCAGGCACAGACAGGTTCAGTGAGCCTCCGAGGGTGGAGCCGGCCTCAACCCGGGTCTGGGGGCGTCTGCTGCCAGCCCCCCAGTCCACCTGCCCGGCAGCAGCGGCCTCTCTCGTACCCGGAGCTCCGGCATCTGGATGATGAGGCTCATGGGCACGTGGACGATGGGACTCTTCCTGTAGTCCATGGGGACGAGGTTGGGGGCCAGCTCGTAGAATCGTGCGTGGAGCCTGCGAGGGAGGCAGAGGGGAAGGGCTGGAGGGGGTGCGGCCCCGGAGCCCCCAGCTGCCGATGCTGCCCCACCTGCACCCCGGCCTCCTACACAGCACCCCCCCAACGGGCCCTTGCTCTGCCCACAGGGTGTGGGACCTGTGAGGGAGGCTGCTTCTGCCCGGACCCCCGTGCCGATAAGCAGGTCGTGTCCTGGCCCTTCACACCACCCCCACCAGGCCGGCCCCCACCCGCAGGGGTCTGCAACCAGACCTTTTGTGTCCCCCTTTGGGCTCCTGAAAGGGCCTTCTATGTGCTAGGCACGTCACCTCATTTAATGCTCCCCATGGGGGCGCAGATACACAGCTCAGCAAACCGGGGCCTGAGGAGGCTAGGAGCCATTTGTCTAGGACCACCCAACTACAGCCATCGGGGTCCGTGGCGGGAGCGAAGGCCTGGAGTCCAGAGCAGGAGCTCTTCACCACTCCGCCCAGGCCTAAGGCTGCCGAAGCCCGGGCCGTCCGCTGCCCCGTCCCCCCGCCCCCACTCACACCCACAGGAAGCCCCTGTGAACGGCCCCCGGACCCTGGGCCCGGTCCCCAGCCCCTCCCACCTCTCTGGGCGCCCAGCCGTCCCGGCTATCCAGGCCTCTCTGCCCGCGTCCCTGGGACCACACCCCTAACAGCCCAGACAAGAGCGCCAACTCCCAGCCCCAGACAAGTTCAACTTAGGAGGGGCACGGAGCAGGGGCTGAGGCGGGCTCTCGGCCCAAGGTGAGGCCCCAGGTGAGGCCCAGGACTGTCGGGGCGGCATCAAAGTGGACCCAGCGCTCCGGGCCCCACCTGCCCTGCTCCCCCAAAGCCTGGTCTTCTTGCAAGTGGCTGACCCCGTGGCAGGCCCGTCAACACAGCCACCCAGCCCTCTCCAGCGGAGCGGGGAGGTACGTGCCTGGCTCACACACGTGACAACAGCCCCGTCTACTGAGTGCTCACTGTGGGCCCCGCTCTGGGTCAGTCCCCCGTGTGGGCGACTCGGTGTCACCCCCACACCGCCCGAGACGCAGGCGTCACCCTCTCCACTGTTTCAGGGGAGGAAACTGAGGCTCCGAGGGTTAAGTGCCTGCCCCAGCACACCAGCCAGTGAGTGGTGGGGCTGGGACTCGAACCCAAGACTCTCCGGGTTCCAACCATTTGGCTCCTCCCAGCCCATGGACAGCTGGCCCAGAGCAAAGTGCCAAAGTGCCGCGAGCACGCCGTCGGCCACAGATTCCCGTAAACGTCCTGAAATCACAAGAAAGCTCCGTGGCTTAGAAACACAGAGCTGGAGGGGAAACAAGCGGAAGCCCGTGGCCTGGGTGGGAGCGGGTGAACAGAGCGCGGGGTGACGGGACCACGCCGGACTCCCCACCAGGGGGCAGTCAAGGGCGTCCTTTGCTCTTGCTTTACATGGAACCAGAACCGGGCTTCCAAATCACAGTTCATGCAACTGGTGTTGTGTACTTGACGGGTGTGTTCAACCTCCAACTGTTACACTGCGCCCCCCACCCCGACCTGATGCTGCGTGCTCCTGGGCATCGCCCGAGCCCTCCAAGGTGCCGTGGGGTCGAGTCAGGCGGCGGCTGAGCCTGCACCTCGCTCACTGGTGGGCTGACCCACGGGCGAGTCAACTTCCCTTCCCCCCTACTGTCCTCACGTGTGGGGGTCCAAGAGGGTGGTGCTACGAAAGCGAGCCGGCCCTCAGCTGCCTGCCTGTCAGGGGCACCCGCCAGGGGGGCTGGGGAGAGGGGCGCAGGGCTGGCAGGTTGGCGCGTCCCCGGGGTGGGGAGGCCAACTTCTGCCCTGACTCTAGGACCAACTGACATGACCATTTTTTTTTTCTTTTTAGGAAAACTCGAAGAGAATTTGGAAGTCTGAATCGCTGTGGGAGAAACTCCAAACGAGGAACTGCGCCCCTGCTACCCCCTCCCGGCGCAGGGCCCCGCTGAGTTCACGGAGGCCGTCAGTCCCGCCCTCAGGCCTGGGACAGGGCTGACCCCAGTGCACGGGGCAGACAGGTAAGGGCCTGCCCTCTTGTTTCAGAAAGTCAGCAAGAACCCTGCCAGCTGAACCCAACGGGCAGCATCCAAAACGGACCGACGGCACCTACACACGCAGGTGCCAGAAGCTCATACAACGTGAGTACCTCAGGTCCAACAGTACCGAAGACGAACGCATTCAGACCACGCCGGATTTCCACCAGGAACACGAGGATGTTCGGGAATCTGTGACTAACGTCATATCAGTAGGTAAAAAAAATATTTTTATTAACTCGGTAGCTGCATTTATGACTGGATGGTTGTACGAACACAGGAAAAACCCCCCAAAAGCATGCACGCCATGGCGCCCAAAGGATGGCGCCCGCAGGTGGGGGCAGACAGGAGTGAGGAGAGGGGCTGGCTGCCACTTCCTCCTTCACCCACTGCCCGACTGCTTGCATTTTTGGAGTATTTATTAACAGAAATAAGCATTTTTAAAGTATTAATTTTTATCAGTCATAAAGCTTAAAATCTTTAGTAGAACGGAAACAAAAGGCTGCTGTATCCCACACCAACACCCAGCACCACACTTAAACGGACCTACCAGAGACCCCAGAAACGCGGGATGCCCGGGAGTGCCGGTCACCGTGGCCAGCGAGGGAAACAGGCGGCGTAGGGAAATGCTGGAAAGGAGGGGGCAAACTGTTTGCCAAAACTAAGCTTAGGCAGTTTAAAAACCATCTGAATGAGAAAGGGCTCAGCAGCCCTTCTGCACCAGATAGTTTTCTATGTGCCAGCATCCGCCACCAAGACGCCCCAGAACAACAAAGTATGAAATAAACTCCAAGTGTGTAAACGGACAGGAAGCGTTCGGGGGTGGGGTAAGTGCCACTATTTTCCTGATTGGAATCCCACAGGGGTGACAAGCACGGCTTCACTTTTGTGCCCAATGAACGCAACCTTCACTGCAACCTGCAACAGGTTCATTTGAGAACTTGCCGACCTGACTCAGAAGTCCTCGTGGCACAATAAAGGCAGGAGAGTGGGGACAGCCCTGAAGCCAGAGCCTCTGGGGTGTCTGCCCCTCGGGCTGGGAACAGCTGGGAGGAACAGGAGGTCACCTTGGGGCGCAGACAGGCGCACGTGTGAAGGAGGGTGGTCCGTGACAGAGCACTGGAAATCACCGGGAGGAACGGATTCTTCTGGAAGTCGCGCACTGGTTGGCGGTCCACATTTGGGCCTAGCTTGCGCGTAACAATGATTAAATTAAATCAGTAATCCAAACTGTAGTTGCCAAAATGTACAAATTAAAACACTGCAAGAAGAAGCTGGATCCGCCCAAGGCAACGAGCCGCTGGAGCAGTTCCCACAGGACCTGGGAGCGACCCCACCGACGGGGGCTCCATTATTTACAGCACGTGTGGCCCGACTGGGACTGTCAGTGCACAATCGGGGGACAGAGGACAATGATACAACAGCCAGTGTGATGGGGCGGCTGGCAGTGCAGACGCGGGCGTGGGGGGCGTCAGCAGTAAAAATCAAAAGCCTTAAATATGTCTATCCCTTTGATCCAGAAACCTGTTGGAAATGCATCCCAAAGAAATGATCCCAGGGGCGCCTGGGTGGCTCAGTCGTTAAGCGTCTGCCTTCGGCTCAGGTCATAATCCCAGGGTCCTGAGATCGAGCCCCACATCAAGCCCCGCATCGGGCTCCCTGCTTGGCGGGAAGCCTGCTTCTCCCTCTCCCACTCCCCCTGCTTGTGTTCCCTCTCTCGCTGTATCTCTCTCTGTCTATAAATAAATAAAATCTTAAAAAAAAAAAAGAAAGAAATGGTCCCAGAGCTGTGGGTTCCACTCGCTGCAGCACTAACTCTAAGGGTGGCGTGAACACCTGCGTGTCCAACTACATGAACTAAGGATGTGGCGAAATCATTCTTCTCACCTGTTATTACAGTTTGCCTAAGGAAGAGCAATTTTAAGCAAAATATAAAGCAACACATTGCGAATTTTTGATAAACACCCACGAAGGAACAATACTGGTCTGACAGACGGCACAAGGTTCTATCCACAGAAAGGGTCATGGTTATGATCTCCGAGGGGCTGCATTACAGCTCGTGTTTTCTCTTCTCTTGACTGGCTCTGTTTTCGAACTTTCCTGTGCCGTCATGTGTCACAGAACATAGAACATCTAAGTAACTAAGGCAGACCACACAGAGTCTGTCCAAGGCGGAGAAGCCACGGCACAATAAAGTCACGTGCAGGCGAGCACCCTGGGGCACCCCGTACTGGGGAGACAGGCTCACTGGGGCAGAGGGGAGTCAGAGCACATCCTCACACCTGTAGGAAGAGAGCCGGGGGCAGCGCTGCCCGCTCAGGCTCAGTGTGGGGGTGGGAGAGCTGTGCCCTGGGTCCACTGGGGGCGGGGGCCAGGGCGGGACCTGCCCAGAGGTTATCTATGAGCCATGGCTGCCAGAGGGCTGGGCCCCAGGCTGCAAAGAACCACTGCTCCTCAGGTTACCTCGCCGCCATCTGGTCAGTACTTGGGGTGCAGCTCAGCAGGTGTGGTGGGCCCAGGGGGAGCGGCACTGGAAGGTCCTTGGGAGGGGCCCTGGCTCTGGGGCCTAGCTCTGCTGCTGACCTGCTGTGCGCACTGCTGAGCTGGTCCCTGCTCCTTGCCCTCTCTGGGCTCTGGCCTCAGGTGCCCTGCCTGGCCCTGAGATTTGACCAGTGGAGAGGGCCCCCCTGGCAAGGGTGGGTGGGCCCTGGTACGTCCCGCTGGCCCTTGCTGGGGCCCAGACAGAAGGCTGGACAAAAGTGAAGGGGTCAAAACCGGAACAGAGCTATCGTGCTTTCTCCAGAGACATTAATCCCATGCACTGCCTGGTCTCACCACCCTTCCTGAGGGCACACGGGTGGGCCACAAGGCCACAGGCAGCCCTGCGTTGTGCTGACCACCACAGTCGCCCTGGCCCTCCCAGCCACAGGGGCCCCGGGGGGGGGGGCGACCGCTCCAGGGAGCACTGCCATCTCCACAGTGCCCCCCAGCAGACCCCAGAGCTCCTGGCATAGAGGTCTTCTCCCTGACAAGACCACTCTGCAGAGGAAGCACTGTGAGTGTGAACACCCAGTGAGCGTGAACACGCAGTGAGTGCAAACACCCCGGTGAGTGTGAACACCCCAGTGAGTGCGAACACCCAGTGAGTGCAAACACCCAGTGAGTGTGAACAGCCAGTGAGTA